TGCCTCTGTGGCAGGGCAATCCCCTGTGTTCTCTCTCTCCTTTTGGGTGTTAATCCACAGAAATTTTTAAAGAAAACTTCAATACTAAAAGGAATTCACAATGGTACACTAAGTAGGAAGCATACTCAGCCAATGAGGTGGACCTGCAGTAAGGAACTGGCTTTCTCCCTCCAGCACTGACAGGGGTCACTCCTGAAACAGCCTCAGAAATAGTCCCTGAGCATCACTTCATGTGGCCAACCCCACCCCCACCCCTGATCCAAAAGGATGCCTCTTCCATGGGTCAGGCATTACAAAGCTCCCCTGTAAGTCAGAAAATAATGGAAAGCCGATCAATGGAGAGAATTCAAAATTCAAGATGCTAAGGGAGAAGACAGTAAAAATGAAACCAGGGTGGTGAACTTCATGTCATATATAAGCATCTGACTGTCAATGATGCATACAGGAAACATAATTAAACGCATCTTCCACACCTGAAACCTTTCTAAAAAAAAATTCAAATAAAAGGGCCAGAGAGATAACTCAATGAGCTAAATGAATGTTTTGGATGTAGGAGTTCCAAAGCCCTGACACTACAGGGCTCCCTGAGCATCACCAGGAAATACCTCGAAAAGTACTGAGCAGGGAGCAGATTTTGCGTATAACTGGGTATGACTCACAAACAAAGATTCGAATAGTAAATGTTGAAAAAAAATACGAAGTAAGAGAAACTAGGGGCATTCAAAAGTTCAGAAGTCACCAATGCCCAGAGTCAGAAATGCTGAGAGCAAGTGACCTGCTGGCAGACTCCCATGGGAGCAACCGTCTGAACTGCCCACCCACACTTGACTGGCCCTCCTTAAAGCAGGTGGAGATGTCAAAAGTATGTGCCCTCAAGTGCAGTTGGTATGTGAGAGCACTAAGTTGAGTGAGGCACCGCAGCAGCACGCCGGGGGCAGGACAGGGAATGCGCACAGCCAGATACTGGATGGCTGCAGGCTCAGCCTGCCTTTCCCTATCATGGCTCTTTGGGAGTGATGTTACATTAGAAATTAGTTAATGTCACTGTCACTGTCCTCCCGTTGTTCATCGATTTTCTCGAGGGGGCCCAGTAACGTCTCATAGTGAGTTTTTGTTGTTACTGTGTTTGGCATATCGAATACGTCACAGGGAGCTTGCCAGGCTTTGCCATGTGGGCGAGATACTCTCGCAGCTTGCCGGGCTCTCCAAGAGGGGCGGAGGAATCGAACTCGGGTCGGCTATGTTAGCTGCATGCAAGGTGAACGCCCTACCTGCTGTGCTATCACTCCAGCCCAGAAATTAATTAATATACTCAGAAAATACAAGAAAGAGATGAGATATTCCCCATGAACACACACATAGAAAATTGAGATCCTGGAAATTAAAATTTTGAACATTGAAACTTAAAAAAAAAAACAAACAACTTATGAGCTGACTAATAATGGCTACTATATGAGGAAAAAGCAACTTGTTGAATGGGAAAATTTAACTGCTAACAAAAAAAGATAAGGGAGGTATATAGAAAATAGAAACTAAACATCAATTATCTCTGGAACGAAGGATGTTTAGAAGAAAAGCATAGGGAAATTAACAAAGGAACAACAGAAACAAATACAGAGGAAAAACATAATTCAAAATTAAAAGGGTATCTCTTACTGAACAGAGTGAGCAGAAAAAGATCCACTTCAAAACATCCTGTGATGAAACTTTAGAACATCCAGGAAAATTCTTTAAAGAAATTGAAAATAACAAGCGAGATATATTCTAATTAATATCCCAGTACAAAGGAGATATCTGTTTAAAAGTTTCATTCAAGAGGGCCAGAGTAATAGTACAGTGGGGTGGGGTGTTTGCCTTGAATGTGGGCATCCCAGGTTCAATCTCCAGCATCCCATCTAGTCCCCCAAGCACGGTCGGGAGTCGGGAATAATTCCTGAGTGCAGAGCCAGGCGTAACTCCTGAGCATTGCTAGATGTGACCCAAAAAGTAAAAAAAAAAAAAAAAAAAAAAAAAAAAAAAAGTCTTATTCAAAATGCCCTACGTGCTATAGATGGGGTCCTTCATTTTCACCTGACCTTGAGACAATTCCATGTGCCATAGATAACACTTTCATCCATCTCAAAGAACTATGCAAACATAATTTTGATTACATCACAGTTAATGGGCTGGAATGATAGCACAGAGGGTAGGGCGTTCGCCTTGCACGCAGCCAACATGGCCAACCCGAGTTCGATTCCTCCGCCCCTCTCGGAGAGCCCGGCAAGCTACCGAGAGGATCTCGCCAGCACGGCAGAGCCTGGCAAGCTCCCCGTGACGTATTCAATATGCCAAACACAGTAACATCAAAGTCTCCAATGGAGACGTTACTGGGCCCGCTCGAGCAAATCGATGAGCAACGGGAGGACAGTGACAGTGACAGTGATCACGGTTGTTTACATCAGGAACTCAGGACATGTAAATGTTTCACTACATTTCTTTTTGACTAATTCCACACTTTTTACTTGAGTGTTTAACCTCAAGATCTGTAGTCTTATTTCACACAACTATTTTAGATTCTTAGATTGGCACTGCTGGTTCAGCTTTTCCCAATTTGCCTAGATTCTGTTTCTATAATTCTATTTAAAACATCCCTTGATCTTTTAATAGGCTCTCCATTAATGATTTTACTGTCCTCTACAATATTTCAATAAAATCTCAAGCGGAATTAACCTGTTCCACCACAAGTGGCATGAAATCCTGGACTAGTGAGCTCACTTCGATAGGGCACAACTACATCAATTAGCTTCACTGCAAATACCTACTCTCCAAATATCTACTCTTCCTCTTCATCTCTAAAGTCTTTGTGTTTCCATTCTTCAAAGATATCCAAATTGCTACCATTTTTTTTTTCAAAACTCGCAGGCTGCCCTTTCTTCATTTGCAACAAGTGGCAACATATGATGAAGTTTTTCTCAAAATATTTCGCAGCTAGTATAGTATGCAAGAAATTACCTTAGTTGGTCAAATAAAACAGGTCACAAAAATAATTTTCCAACATAAAACCATCAGATGATTTCTCTTTTCTCTCTAAGATTATTTCTTCCAACTACATAGCACACTTCCTAAACCCAACCTAAACTCCTTGCTGTGTGGTAATCCGGAGCAATTAGTATGACTCTTCTACCCTTTTTCCCTTTTTCTAACCACACTCTCTTCACAGCCTTCATGTCTCGGAGCTCGCCGCACCACAGCATGCCCCCTCGGTGATCTCGCTCCCACATCTACATTCATAACAGCCATCTTCGGATGACTCCTCATTTATATCCAATAAACCGGACTCAAATATCCAACCCCTTGTGACTCATCTTTACTAGAATATCAAACTTAAACTAATCAACTTGACTTGTTCACCCTTTCTCTATATTCCTCATTTGGCTCCACAAATACCATACACCTAGTTTCTCAAGTAAGAAAATTAGATTACTTCTTTTTATTTCCTCCCCCTTAAATTTCGCACCTTCAGCCAACCAGGTTCAGTTGGTTACGCCTCACTCTTATTTCCAGAGTCAACACCCAACATCTCTTTGCTCTGAACTGAATGTGTCATGAACTGAATGTGTCATGGCAACTGAATGTTGCCTGTGAGTGGCAACCTGAGTTGGACATTAGCATCATCAGAAAAAAAAACCAAAACTCCCAATGTCATAATAGCTTCAGCATACCCTGAAGCTATTATATTAGAGTTCTCTATGTAAGATTAGGCATCAGCATAGTTTCTTTTTTTACAAGAACCTATAGGAAAATATGCAGTCAGACTTAAGAATTTTTCCAGAATTAGGGCCAGAGAGATATTACAGGGTTAAGATGCTTGCCTTACGCATGGTCAATCCTAGTTAGATCCCTGGCACTGTATGTGGTACTGCACACGGTCCCCTGAACACAAGAAGTGATCCCTAAGTACCTAACTAGGAGAAAGCCCCACATGATGCAAAATAATAGTAATAATAATATTTAAGACACAAGTTCACAGATTTAAAGGGCATACTGAATACCAAGAAATATTATTTCTTTTAAAAATGTAACTAAAAACATCAAAAAAATTAGAAACTTAATAATCTTGAGAATAAAGAGAAAATCATGTAATTTCTCCTGGAGAGAAACGAGAAGTGGCCTACAGAAGAAAGAAACTTATGCTACTAACAGACTTGCGTGCAATCTGAGATGACAAAAGACAATGAATTTAAAAATCTTCAAAGAGACTGGGGGAAAAGTACACCTAGTGTTGTATTCTATGGTCTGCTCAATTGTTCTTCAAGGGTGAAATAGACTTCTTCAGACACACAAAGCCAAGATTCTACTATTCACAGACCATCAACTGGAAGAACTGCTTTACAAAGAATAGACTTCATTATACACGTAAGTGAGCCAAGAGAATTAGAGAGGTACTTAATGATATTGACCTGTCTGGATTTCACCTGGAAAACACAAAGTATGTGAAATGTATGCACCACTGAGACATTCTAATGACCCTAATGAAGGTAAAGCAGTTCTGTGAAAACAAATAAATTTTACAACAAAATTATTAGCAGGGTTCTGGCTAGCTAATTTTAACTGTTTTCCTGTGTACCTGCAGAATTTAGTCTTAGTTTTCAACTGTTCAATTTCTGTAACTTTAAAAATAAAAACAGGGAAACACTGCCAACATAGCAGCATTCATGTGTATTTACCACTTCTTTCATTGTCAAAGAAAAGATGTTATACTAAGAAGTTACATCATATTAAAATACCAAAGTTTCTTTCTTGCCACAGTATTTTTATCTTTCCTTGTTTTTCAAATGGCTTTGCAAATAATTCCAGAACTCATAAATGCCAATCATTCAATTCCTATAACATAAGACTTAGCATCTTTTCATCATTTCTTAGAAAACTCAACCACAAATGTTAATTTTTATTAAACTCATCCTATTACTGTAGTCTAAGAATTACCGTGGGATGTAAAAAAAAAGACTCTTAACCAAGAGGATAATTACATATTTAATACATCTTGCCTTTAACAGCAATTTTCAAAGTAAACACATCATCGACCTTATAACTTATTAAAGATTTATAGTGCTTACAAAGTTGATTCTAAAAATATACTTTATTTGTTCTAAATGAATAACAGTATCTGGAAGATAGAACAATAAATTATAGCAGTATATTTACTACCACTATAGTTAAGATTGTGTACATATGTTCAATATGAAATCCTTTTAGGATTTTCACACTTTCGGCCTTAAAACATAAAAGCAGATTAAGGTTTGGCATACAAGAGCTCAGTCTGACAGCAACAGTTTTAAAACCAAAAATAAACATATCGAATCAACACTTCAAGAGAGTATGGGCACATGCACTTAAACATATACAAATATATTCTCTCTCTCTCAATATAACACACACTCTCTTTATATATATGTACATATGTGTATATATACATATATATGTATATATATAGATATCTTTCTCTCCAAAATATGCAGAATATACAGAAAACTTTGCCCTTGTGTATGAACAACTGAACACATGTATCAACTTCAAAAATAAAAACTGGGACAAAAGTTAGCTAAGAATGTGTTTAAATCACATTTAAGTGGCTCAAGTTGTTGGAAAGATATGCATGTATCTGTTATCAAGATCTTTAACATGCACAATCCGCACTGGAATATATTCTTAAACAAACTTGAACTAGTCACTAACGGGCATATTTACTAGCCCATCCATTCCCTAGATGGCATTTTACTGACAATCAGTGATAAGGCCTGGTCCAGCTAAAATGATTTTCTTTACAGAATCCAAGAACAGAATCCAGGAGATTTAATTTTTTCCTTTTGGGCTGCTTAGAGTCACACGTGTTCTGTGTACAAAAGCACTGCAGAGAAGAGTTAACGCACAACATCGTGTCACCACAGAAGCGCGTCTGGCATTTTTAAAATATGTCTTCTAGTTAAATTCCCCAGTGGTATTTACTTTTTTTAATATACAGACTTTTAGATTTAGACACAAAACAATTTAATGTTAATACCACCCGCTAAACACTTTTACTTCCAGTCTTTTGTCAGAACAAAAGATTATTCTCTCCAGTAATGAAGATTTGAAGACATTCTGTGGAAGTTCTTTTTTGTTTTATATTAAAACACCCAAAGCTATCTGATGTGACATGAAAATAGACACTAGGGTACCCACACTGATACTGATCTGATTAGGAAACATTTAAAGGCACAACAATAAGTGAAAAAGAAAAAAATATACCAGTTCCCTATTTACTTTTTTTTTTCCTGGCTTCTCCTCTGATTTCATTTCACTAAGTTAATAAATTATTCAAAGCACTCTTATATGGCAATAACAGAATATTTTGGCACGACAACCCTGTGATGCAATATATGGTACATTAAAAAATTAATTTAAAAATTTCATCTATTAATCAACATTCTTTTTAATGCAGTTCATATATATATATTTTTACAGTTATTTAAGTCAAATACATAGAGGTTTGTAACTGATTTACAGATAAAGCAATCACAGATTGCAGAATTATGTGTGTGTAGTATGTTTGTATGAGTGTATATATACCAATCAAGAGAAAAACTGCATTCTGGCAATTTTACAGTCCAAAGTTTCATTGACATATCTATTATTTACATGCCCTTTTCATCTTGTTTTTCTGTACAAAAGATATATGTTTGCCTTCTTCATTCTTGATGAGATTTTTCTGCGATTACCTTGCATTCATACTGTAAAAATTTAAAAGGTTGAAAGATTAAGGTTTATTTGAATATAAATTTCCTTGCAATCTAATATAACTCAAAAATTATTAATCAATTTATTAATAAATTTCCACTTTTTTTCCCAAAGAATCTAAGAGTTACATCACAGATAGCATTTAATGAGAAAAGTGAAAAAGGGAAAAAATTGACATTCCAGAAGTGAGAGAGGCACAGCCCCAAGCAAGAAAGACAAGGCCCCCACATTCCCAGCAAAGCACCGTAGTGTATGAGTTATTCAATCCTAGGATACGAGAGAACGTGAAATTAATCTGAGTGTTTTGTAAGGCTAATCATAAAAGGTGAAATTAAACACAGCAGCAATGTAGCAAATTCATAAAGTATCTTTGCAAATCACTTTTTAAGGAAGAAAAAAAATCGACTATGTTAGCAAAAGCTTCTTGCTGAAATTTTAAAACAACACTTAGAAAGATGTCTATTTACAAATCGAACAAGGGAAATAAATAAGTTTAAGATAACTGGATGACCAGATTATTAAAAAGACAGCACTGTAAGCCACTCTTCAGACATCTCCTAGATGACTGAAATGGTACAAAGTGATGCTTATCTGTGAAGCTGCCATGTTCCCTAGTGCCCACGAACTGTCACTCGGTTATCAACAAATGGCCTTTACCTTCTTAACAGAAATGACCAAATATTATGATTTGCCAGACACAGTCCCCGTTTATATCTATTACAGAAACATAATCTGGTCACTTTAAAAAAATCCCCTTCCAATGAGAAACTGATTACACCGGTTTTGTTTTTTTTCTTTTAAAAAAAAGGACAATAAATCATATTGCCTTATCTATAACACATTTTCACTTCTCTATCCACTTCCTGCAACCTATAACAAACTTGTGAATAATTCTTCCCAGGGATGTACTGCAGCGGAATTGCAAGGGAGCAAAGAAGACCAGCCTTGCAAATTTCCCTTCCTTAAAAGAACTGACACTTAGTGAAGATTCATCTTAGGTCTCGATAACAGAAAAGAACGTTGAGGAAGGATCAGCTCACCATTGCCAGCTGTCGACCAATGTTCCCCATCGTTATGCCGCCAGCAAAAAATATACAAGGTAACCAAGAACGAACGTAGAGAAAATCTGGAGATGTGTATCTAGAACAAGAGAAAAATTTTAACGACCGATGGAGGAAATGCACTTACTAAGGCCATTAACAAGTGTACTTTTAACACTCAAATATTTTTGAAATACTTCTTAAAATATTTTTTACACCTGTTAAAATACTGTTAGCAACCTCTGGAGGTCATACTAAAATGCACTAAGAGACTCTCATTACTGAGACACGGAGGCTGGAGAGAGAGCCCAGGCTCTACGTACAGGAGCTGAAGTCAGACCTCTGGTGCCCTGAGCCCCACTGGGAAAAACTCTAAGCACTAACAGGTGTTGTACTTACCCTCCCCCCCCAACCCACACGCCCCCCCCCCCAAAAAAGGGGGTAACACAAGGAAATAAATTGCTCTGTAGATCAGACTAACTCTAAAATCTCAATTCCAAATTCAGTTATCACTTACTTATCCAGCAAACAAGCACCCCAAACAAATACTTACTGATAAACACCATTATAGACTAGCAGTTGAGTGATCAAGGTTGCCAGGAAGGCAATTCCCACTCCAAGGCCAAAACCACTCCGAGATCTATCAAAAGTCCACCACAGGCCAATGGAGAGTGCAGCCAGTGTGAGAGACAACTGTATGTTGTTATCAAAATCCACCTTCTGGGATCAATGTTAAAGAATCATCTTGAAATTTTTCACCAAATGTATCACCTATTTATTTTTCCAAAATAAGAGATGTTAGTCTTGAGAAGGGAACTGACTCCTTACTCTAGAGCACACCTGGTCTTTTAATATAATGCATGAGAGTTGGTGGGATAAAAATCGCCTTCGATATTTACCAAAGATACACATGCAGGCATGATACTTCATTAATAAGTTTCACCAACCTATAATCTTTTCCCCAAAAAATAGCATTCTTCCTATTTATAAGATCAGACATATTATTTAAGAAAAGCTTTCATTGCTAAAAATGTAGCTGGAAGTCTCAGAATACAGGCATTGCCAACGGAACACACTTTTGCTAAAAAGGAAACCAATGTTATTTCTTAAACAGGTTTAGAATTACTTGAGAATCGCACAAAAACGTGAAAATAGAAAAACTGACAGCTACTTAAAAGGATACCACATTCTCTGTATGATTTACTGACAGACACATTTTATAATAATACAGTTCAGAAACAAGAGTACCAAGGACACAGTCTCCCTTTCTATTATGTCAACTGTTCTAGTTTTAATTTGTTGAGGATAAAGCCTTGAAGTGAACATTATCTCGCAACCTGCCAAGCTATTTTGGTGCCTGAGACTTTCTGGTCCAGGACAGTTTGCGCAAATGATATTTTATTTCCGTCACCTACTTAAGCATCTATTCACAAATGTACAGCCCTTTTCTGCTCCAAAATCTCTGGGCAAAACGAAGCTTTACAAATTCAATTTTCTCATTTCTTTGCTAGAGGATTACACTAAAGGAATTAATTTCAAGTATCATTAAAAGGGCATTATCTTTGTCCCAGAGGCCACATCTTGGCTCAATATCCAGCCTCCCAGGGGGGACTACATATCTCACAAACCTAACTGGCCGCGCTACAGAGAGCAGAAGTTCAAAAACTGCATACAAAACCACTTCCTACCTCCTTTGACACTGCTGTGTTGACTACCCCTCCCTTACCACGCCGGCTGAACCCCAGTTTGCAGCTTCTCCATCTGAGATGGCTGCAGCCATGGGCATGCTTGCTGGAAAGTTTCTTATTCATTTCCCCCCCTTTTCTTTTTTGGGGGAAGTGTGATAAGGTTACAATAGTGTTTAAGTTTACAGTATTGACACACACAGTTAATGCCCACTATCGCCATCGAAGTGACGGTGACCCTTCACCCCTTCTATCACATGTGGTCCAATCTTCCGCTTCTCCCCACTGACTGTTGACTGTTGGTGACTATGGTTTTCATTCATACTGTTACCTCACTACACCACCAATGAACCCTAGATGTTCCAACTATGCCCTCTACTTCTGTGTTACTTCTAGGCCACTTCATCAAGTAGTTCTTATCCTTTAGTCTTATACTTAAGATACTTTTAAGCTCTGGTTACGGTTTTAAAGTGGAATTTGCTATGAATCGGACTTTTTCTTTGCTTCATTAAGACCTGAAGCAAAATAAAGAAGCTTCAATAAGTCAATCTTCAAAAGAGTGCGATGTAATTTCACAAAAAGTCTGAGGAGGCTAACATTAAGACTTTGTTATAAATTTGCAAACATTTTGGATTTTGCTTAAAGGATAGAACAACTGAAACTGCTATGCTTAAGTAACTCACAGAGAAACAAAGAGAAGAATGACTGGAGAGAATAATTTAAATTAGCTATGTTAAGCTTTTTAAATTCCAGAAAAGGCTATTTAAATATCTCTACTTAAAAATAGCAGAAATGTCTGGAGTGGAGAGGTCTAATCCCTCAGACAGAGAGGAATTTATATGCTGTGGGGCTCTGGGCAGGAGAATGAGCCGTTCGGAGGTCTAAGTCAGACTCTCTGAGCTCTGGCCTCAGCCTCACAGGACAAAAACTTGGCAAAGTACAGAGCTCTCTACATTTCATTTATTGTTGTTTTTTCTAAAAAAAATATAGAACTTGGTGATTTCTACATGTCTGTCTAGATAGAATATCCTATGAACCTCTCCTTGTCAGCCCCAGTTGTAGGAGAAGGGCACTGCTTGAGATTGACACATGGTGCCAGGAATCAAACTCAGGGCCTCACACATGCAAGATCTATGCTCTATCTATTACCTGAGCGACACTCCAACCAAAGTCTTTTGCAGCCCTCCTAAACTCTGGGGGTATGGGCGAGGGGCGGGCAAAAATCTAAATCCCCGTTGCTTGAGGGAATGCCAACTGGTTCACCCTTTTTTGGAAAACAATATGGACATTCCTAGAAAGCTAAAATTTGAGCTTCCATATAATCCAGTAATAGCTTTCCTCGGAACATACCCTGGGGGCCCAAAAACACAATGCAGAAAAGCCACCTGTACTTCTATGTTCATTGCAACACTATTTACTACTGGAGCTAACCCAAGGTTCCAAGAACAGATGACTGGAATAAGGAACTGGTACAGTGATGGTGCCCTCAGACTTCAGATACCGCAAAATTTCTGCTGTGCCTTTGGCCAGATCCCAACAACTTGGGGCAAAGTTTACCAAGAAAGCAAACGGCCAAAGTTAGGTACGTGGGAGACACACCCACAAACCACCTCCGGCTCAGCTATATAACTGGAAGCAAGGCCTCTCTGGTTCCTGATCGAACTAGTTAACGGCCATGATCCCTGAGACTCAGAAACAAATCTCGAAACGGCTTTTGGAAGAGATGCGTCCAATCCCCACAATGGGTCCCCGCACAGATGACCCCAGGAAGGAAAGGGTGTTGTCCCTCTGCCTGCTCCCTCTTGGTGGCTCAGTGATCGCCCATCTTCCAGAGGCCATTGGACAGTCAGGTTTGGGCCCGCAGTGACGAGACATGTGGGGCTTCATGGGATGGGGGTGGAGTCAGCCCTTTCTTCCCCGCCCCAACAAGACCCCTGAGTCACCACCCACAAACGGCCTCTCTGGCTCCTGATCAAGCTGCTTAATGGCCATGATCCAAGAGACTCAGGAAGAAATCTCAGAACCCAGCAGGTTTTGGCAGAAATCCCTCCAGATTTAATTGTTAAAATTTCAGAATTTCAAAATCGCGCAGCCACTACTGCAGCCACACAACATCATATGTTATTCACAACCAGCAATAGAAAACAAATTGTCTACGGTTGCCTTTTCAGCAGATCTGAGTGTTGGGGTAAAATCCCAAATAATAATAATGGTAGGTCTAGTATCAAAATATTGAATGTAATCAAAAGTAGAGAGAGAGTAATGTGGAAATCATCTGCCCCACTGGGAGGGGGAGGGTGTGGGATGGGGGTATACTGGGGTTTTGGGGGGTGGAGAATGGGCACCAGTGAAGGTACGGGTGTTTCATTGTATGACTGAGACGTAAACCGGAAAGCTTTGTAACTGCTCTCACGGTGACTTTATAATAAAATTATAAAAAATGAAAAACATAAGTAAGGTGGAGTTCATGCCCAATTCAATCAGCTAATCAGTGGCTAAATAAGTAGCAGTACTCCTACATTGAAAAGAAGAAGAAGAAGATCCAAACACAGCAAAAATAAGGGTGAGGAAGACCAGGCCATGGTAGGACGCTTGGCACAAGTTGTGGGGGAATGCCGTTAGGACAGAGAAGGGACGAGTATGATAACAGTTGGAAATGATCACTCTGACCCAAAACTGAGTGCTGAAGGGAGTGTAAAGCGACATGTATCATGGCCTTTCAGCAAGTATCATAAACCACGGTGCCAAAGATGGGGGTTGAGGGAGAGAAAAAAAAGCAGAAAAGTGTCTTACATAGAGGCAGGCTGGGGGTGGGTGGGTGGGCAGGAACTGGGGACACTGGTAGTGGGAAAGTACACTGGTGAAGAGATGTGTGTTCGACCATTGTATGACTGAAACCCAATTATGAAAAACTTTGTAACTGTGTATCGCACAGTGATTCAATTTAAAAAAAAAATTCAAATCCCCAAATGGTCAAAGCATTCATCAAAATTAAAATGTTGGGAAAATTTTTTTAAAAAATAAGGAAATAGAAAAACTAACAGTCCCAAGAGATTTCCAAACAAAGGCCAGCAAGACAGGGAGCAAAGAGGTAGGTTGCTCTGAACATGTAGGGTCCTGCCACTTTCCTCGGTGCCTGTTTATAAGTTTTTCCACAGAACCTCCCTGCTTTCTAAAGAGACACAAGAATAGACTTGCCACACAGCCCACTCTCTCTCCAGCTACCTGACAGTCAAGGTCAGTCCAGTTACACTGAGAAACCGTGGGAAGCTGAGTCACGCTTCTCATACCAATGACTCTTTCCACCTCCACTCTCTAAGCCACCTCATCTCGAATAGAGAAGTCTTTAAAAATATCATCTAGTAGTTCCCAGATCCTCTTTACTAAAGAAAAGTCAGGGTCAGGGGAGAGGAGAAGTCGGAAGAATGACAGGTGGAAAACCTAGTGAGAGCAATAAATTTTTGTTCTTGGGGAAAACACTTGTTTCTGAGTAGGAAGAAGAAGGAAATAGAGGTTACTTGCCTTTCTAGTTAAGACCCTATAAAATTAATCATTCATCACTAAAATGCCAGGCTCACTAAACATCACATTTTTTTAAATAAGCACATAAGAAAATTAAGTTCTTGGGGCAGAAATATTACATCTGTTTTGCGCACAGTCAACCCTGGTTCAATCCTGGCACCATATATCGTCCCCTGAGCACTGCCATGAGTAATCCCTAAGCACCACTGAGTGTGCTCCAATGCCAAGATAAAGAAAAGGCTCTATTTTTTTCTGTCTAACATCTAAGCTTAATTTTTTTTCTACTTATGGCTTTCTGGTACTGCTTAAAATCATTAAATGGCATTCTGCCTTTCAAAGAAAATTAGAGCTACTCGGAACTGGGTATGTAGCCCAACGGCAGAACGCATGCGTCAAAGATATAAAGTCCTTGACTCCAGCCCTGAAACCCCTTCATCTGCCTCTTCTCCCCCAAAAAACCTTCATTAAATTAAAACAAGAAGAAAATCAGCCAGAGCTGAATGTCACATGTCCTTAATGGCAAATTTTCAATGAAGGAAAGAAAGAGAATCTTTGAAAGTATGTTCTTATCATTCTGAAAGTCACTAACCCATAGAGAAAAAGAATAATCCAACTTTAGAAAAACACAACTCTTAAAAATACGCAAATCTTCTAAAGGGGGGTGGTGGTGGTGGAATATTTAAATGAAAGGCTATACCCCACGAAAATTTCAAAGAATAATGTGGGGCTTTTTTCGTAATATTGAATGTGATCTACGTAGAAAGGGAGTAAAGTGGAAATCTGCCACACAGGCGGGGAGGAGGGGGTTGGGAGGGGGGTATGCTGGGGTTCTTGGTGGCGGAAAATGTGCACTGGCGAAGGGACGGGTGTTTGATCATTGTATGACCCCGACCGAGACTTACACTGAAAGGCTTTATGACTGTTCTCATGGTGATTCAATAAAGAAAACTTAAAAAAAAGAAAAGAAAAAAGAAAGGCTATACCCCACACTACTTCTGTAGCTACTACAGCGATGTTTCGACAATAAAATGTGCATTTATTCTCTTTATGACCAAGTAAGCATATAACAACTTGACACCAGTTAAGTTGTAAGGGGCTGTTTCACCTTTGGTTCGTAGGAAGCTGCTTTGTTATTAGGCATTTCATTACAATAGAAAGGATACAGCACTGGCATGATTTATACCAACAAAGACGGCTACACACCGCATTACACTGGACCACTCTCTTTTAAATTTATGTGGTTCTCCCAGATGCCTGTCAATGCAGGGGTATAATAACCCAATCACAGCTGTGGGGGGAGGAAAAAAAAGAGAAAAAAATTAAGTTATCTTAAATGCTGTACTGGCAGGACTTAAGCTAGAGTCACTATAACAACTACAATATGTGCGGTTCTTTTTCTTAAATCTCTTCAATTTACTTAACATCAACTGATTATATTTTTAAAGTTACCTTCCAAAAGAGAAAAATAAGGATAACACCACTGAAGAAAGAATGGTTAACAATTATAGTCGTACTCTGAAAGGGCATAGGCAAAATACTATTTAAGTGTATGATTCACAATTTAACAGATTAGACCAGATGATTCATGTTACTTTTCTACTACTAATACCTTCAAATATCAGTTAGCAGTTAAGCAATGCTCACTCTAAACTATCTAACCATGAAACATGCTATTAAATGCCACAAATCTAAAGAGAAGCCAGAAGTATAAACATGTACAACAGGCTCATCACATAGCTAATATAGGGTGGCTAGGGCTGTACTATCAGAGATCATCCCTCTCCCCACAGCTTCTGGTCCCAGACACCCACACTTAATGTCTTTTCCTGACACTCCCTTCCACTCTGGGTCTCTAGTGAGACGCCAGATCAAACAGCTGAAGCAGGGAAATTCAAAGCAGAAAACTAAATGTAAGATTACTACATGTAAATCCACATGTAAGACTAAAAAGACTATATATAATATATATGGTTAAAACACATATAAAACATATTTTAAATATAAATATTTTAACCATATATATGCAGGATTAAATATATATTTAAAATATGTCAGTATATTTTTTAAAATAAGAAACATGATCTATAAGAATTATACATTTTTGGCTAAACATTAGATTTACTGTTCAAGAGAAGAGATCACTGAGTAAACTTTTTTTAGCTTTAGAAAGACAATCTTAAGTGACTCCTGAATTATAAATAACTGTGAAAAATATCCACAATTGAAACTCAAAATATTCTAACGCAATTTTTAGCTTAAATTGTTGTCAAACCTCAAAGTTGTACTCATTTAGTAGGAAAAGATTTTAAATGTACTTTTACTAAAAAAAAAAATTCATGAACCAAAGTATTTGTCAATGAGTTATAAGGAAAATACACTTCCACAGAGTAAGTTTAACAGAAAACAAATGCTTAAGATGCTAATATTCCAAAGAATAGAATGGCTATGCTTCTCAAATAGCAATAATGATACAACTATCATGTTACTTGCAAATCCCATTTGAAATGTACCATACAAATATAATGTTTTATTATTATACCAAAATTTAAGTGTCTGAGGTTCAGAAGTCCCTTCCATACCTGGGATTAGTTATTTTTATCTCATAAACGATTCTATTGTATCGTCAAGGAAAAGTGGAAATTGCCACCAGTTATACCAAAGAAATCACAGATTAGCAGACCAATTGAGAAGCATTAAGAAAGAGGTTCCCTGGATGGATTCCCCAACTTAATATTCTGAATTTTCTGGAGCACATGACCGCAATCTCCAAATCCTACAATACTAATATCCCATTAGGAACACACCAGATTGCACGGGAATGTAACTCAGAAGCCAACTAATCTCAACCAACAAAAACATTAACACAAAAGGCTTAACTTGCAACAAAAGCTTAGTAAGATCTCAGACGAGGAATTAATGTTCCCATGGTAAGATACAACAATTTTCACAAATTTTCTTCTCCAGGAACATTTTTTGATCATTCCAGTAGCCATTCATTGGTAACTAGCAATATAAAAGAAATAATTGGGGCTGGAGCAATAGTACAGTGGGGAGAGCATGTGCCTTATATGTGGCCGACCCGAGTTCGATCCCCAGCATCCCATATGGTCCCCAAGCATCCCCAGGAGTAATGTCTGAGTGCAGAGCCAGGAGTAACCCCTGAGCATAGCTGGGTGTAACCCAAAAAGAAAAAAAAAACAGAAATAATTGGGGGCCTGCTACAGGGCAGGCTTGAAGGGGTGTTTGGGAAAATGGAAACAATGGTGGAGGGAAGGTGACAGTGGTAGAACACTGAATGCCTGTAACAAATCACCATGAACTTTGTAAATCATGGTATTTAAATAAAGTGGGGGGGGGGGGGGGGGAAATACCAATAAAAAATAAATAAGAGGCTCCAAGACCACCCATCTCTGGAGTTGAGATGCTCCAATATTATAAACCTGTTTTAGTCCACAAAACTAAAAGTGCTTCTTTTGAATTAAGGTTCTGAAACGTATTACAGGTTCACAGGCCATCAGGAGATTAACAGCAATTGTCAGCAGTGTAGAGCTGCACCAAATGTTAGTAAATTTGAGAGTTTCACGTAACACTGCAATTTAAAAGCTTCTGCTCTAAAATCCTATGAGATTGAGTGACTGCATTTTCAGATTTCTAGAAAATTAAAATAGCAATGTGCATGCTAACATTTGAACTATGTCTAAGTCAATCTATTCCTTTATTTTTTCTCAAAGGATCATAAAATAGCTCATATGTCCTCTCTCCCTCTCTCCACCCCCTTTCTCTCTCTCTCTCTCTCTCTCTCTCTCTCTCTCTCTCTCTCTCTCTCTCTCTCACACACACACACACACACACACACAGACACACACACACATATACACCTCCACCCTTTGCCTATTATTGAGAAAACTCTACTAGGATCAGGCTTTCCAAGTCAATTTTCCTCAACAGCTGATGTCATAGGTAAAGAATTACCATATAGAGAACACTGACATGTGTGCACAAAGATATAAATAAGTAAAATTGACTATGTTTCATGTACATGATGTCAGACTCACAAGTGAGAGACAATTGAGGAGAGAAAGCAAAATCACAAAAAGGGAATTTAAACTGCCACACTGCCAACCTTGGGATTTGCCAATAAAAATCAAATCCATTGAGTATGCACGGTTCTCGGTTGCTCGCTGAGAGGGAAAATTCAAGGAAGCTTGTCACTTCCCATTAAATGTCTTCTTCCTTTTCTTTAAATAAAGGCATGGCCTAGTCTGATAGCAAAATCTACAGCACAGTGAGGCACCTCTATTTGAGAGTGCAGCCGAAATACATGTGGGCTTCTTTCTTTTTCTCTTCCTTGTCGTAACAAGAAAAACAGTTTAAAATCACACCTGTGTAAAATCATATGCAAACAAAGTCCTCCTCAATCAGATAGTTCTCCGATGCAAAAATCTTACTTAGGGGGGAGTTATTTAAGTTTCCTACTAAAGAAAGAAAGGTTGCTTGAACGTCAATATAAAGTCATCAATTTTCCAAAGTTGTATTTAATACAGTGATGCACCAAAAATAAAAGTTAGAGCAAACATTTTGCAAGGCAAAGGGCTAACAAAACAAAATCGTTGAATGATAGGTACTTTTGTAAAAGCTGCAGGATAGACAATATTTCCATTCAACAAAGATTAAGGGCCCCACAGTGTATCTGGTTGTTGGCACTGGCTGGGAATTTAGAAAGAAAAAGAAGTAAGAAGTGATCCCAATCCCAAAATGACTCCAGTAACAACAGCAATAATATGTTTTGGGGGGATAATAATAATAATATGCTGGGGAAAGCGAACAGCATTGAGCCTGGAAAGCAGGGGGCATTCTTGATCTGGTATGTGCAAAGGGAAGTGAGATGCTAGGGTATTAGGAAGGGTCAGGTTAGAGGAGGTCATTAAGGCTGGCACACTCAGCAGGTAGGTGACCAGTATAGAAGGGACTTTTAGCCAAGGGGAATGTTAAAAATAAATTTTAAAAAAAAAAAGGCATGAACAATGAAATATACACCATTATCGCCTGGAAGCCATATGCTTTAGGCAGAAACAGAGCTTTAGTCTTTGTGGAATCCCAAGAAGGAAGGTGAAGTAAGGGACATAACATACTTTCTCCTGCAGACACGGGGGTATCAGGCAAATGATGTCATCACATCTATACCAGAGAGAGGAGCAACCATTCCTACCTGCAGTGCATGTTAAAGTATGAGAAGAGAGTGTGCAAAATTAAGAGAGAGAAAATGAAACAAAACAAAACCCTGCAAATTCCTAACTGAATGGCAGAAGACCAGAACGAGAAAGAGACCAAGAAAAGATGGAAAACTGGAAACTGGATGTGGAAGGAGAGGTGGGAGGAGGTATGAAAAGCCTTGTGGGTAATCTTTTTAAAAAATTAAGTAAAGTAAAGGCCCTCCCGTTGATCGTCGATTTGCTCGAGCGGGCCCAGTAACGTCTCCATTGGAGACTTTGTTGTTGCTGTGTCTGGCATATCGGATACGTCACGGGGAGCTTGCCAGGCTCTGCCGTGCGGGCGAGATACTCTCGGTAGCTTGCCGGGCTCTCCGAAAGGGGTGGAGGAATTGAACATTGATCCTTTTGTGACTCTCAATGTCGAAGAGGTTTCAAACTCCAACTCTACTGTAAAGGTAAAGGCCCGATTTGCTCGAGCGGGCCCAGTAACGTCTCCATTGGAGACTTTGTTGTTACTGTGTCTGGCATATCGAATACTCTCGGTAGCTTGCAGGGCTCTCCGAGAGGGGCGGAGGAATCGAACTCGGGTCGGCCATGTTGGCCGCTTGTAAGGCGAATGCCCTACCTGCTGTGCACTGTACCACACACATAAAAAAAAATCAGAACAAAAAAAATTTGAAATGTTAGTCATTACTAATCTAAAACTAGAAAACTAAGAAAAATGAGATTAAGAGAACCGGGCCTTGAATGGTCTGTGAAGCCGAGTTTGATTTCTAACACCACACAAAAAAAATGAATTAATTTAATCAATTCCCTAAGTTTTCTAATAGCCCCAGTCCCTCCAGAAGAGCCACGACTGTTTTCCAGATCGATAGTGTGCAAGAGAATAGAGAAAGGTGGCAGATAACCAGGGGACCTTCTGTTTACCTGTGGTGGCATGGAAAGCCAAAAGAAAAAAAAAAGCCACTTAGACTGTAACACTATTGGGCATAAAATCAAAGGACAGTTAACAGTTTTCTTAAGATAGAAAGAACACAGAGAGTTCTGAAAACGCATACCAACACACATGCTACCGAAGACTGCATACCACACCACCCAGACTCACACATATTATGTTTCTTACATCTCTTATTTTCTTTCCTCCCCCACTCCTGGATATCCTCCCTAAAATGGGGCGAGAGGCAGCAATCACGCAAGAATTCATTTTCCATCTTTGACAACTTTCACTACTCTGGCATCCTCACCCACATGGAGAAACCATGACTTACCCAACCAAATCAGCAGCAGAATTAATTGGAATCCAGATCCCCTAACGCCTCTATTTTCATTTGCCCAGATACCTCGTGGAATCGCTGCTTTCAGAAGAAACATTTGAAGCAAGAAATGTAAATGCAAATTCCACAAGTGAAAAGTATGGGGTTACGTCTGTGTGACAAAACTAGTGGCTGGGAGAAGGAAAGGAAACAGGGAGAAAGTGACTGAAGGGTGGTATTAATATTTGGAATTGTTTTCCTACAAACAAGACTGTTGCAAAAGTGGCATTCAACAAAGGACAAGCACACCCCTTTCCTCTTTGTACTGAAGGCACAATGAGTCAAACTCTCTTGACCCAGCCCTGTGGAGCACATGGAAAAGAGTTGTGTGTGTGTGTGTGTGTGTGTGTGTGTGTGTGTGTATGAAAGAGAGAGAGATTTTGATGCTGTTGTTTGAGGTCTCAAGTAGCAGTGCTCCGGGCATACTCCTGGCTCTGCTTCACTCCTGGTGGTGCTCAGGAAAACACATCAAGGAATCCAACTTAGGTTGGCCAGGGTTCAAGCTGGGTTGGCCACATGTGAGGCAAGCACCCTAAAACACTGAACGACATCTCTGGTACCTTACCTATTCCCTGTATGTATTTTTTTAATTAGATACTAATTTCATAGGCATGCAGACAATAGAATTAAATGTTATTCTCTCTCATCAGACCTACTGGCTAGACCACACACGAGTATATTCTGGGCCTAGCACTTAGTTTGGAGGCGTCAACAGAGGCAGCCTGAGTAGACGGAAGTGTGAGTAGCTGACTTCTCTCCTCTTCCCCGGCATGTGGTAACTGACCCAGCAACACTGGTCTCCGGCTCTGGGTGCCTGGGCGCAGATTTCCCCTCTTTCAATTCCCATCTCCTTCCAACCCTCCCAAATAGGCACAATACCAATCACCCTCCTGAAGTTGACCTACAGATTCCTTAAGTTAAGGATCTACTTAGCACTTTAGCAAACATTCAATAAGTAATAGTTTCTCACCCGTGACCTTTCCTTAATCTATTCTGAACAAACCTGTTCTAGTTCCCACCCCCCCAAAACTTTCAATAGCTTATTCCAGAGGAGAAAACAAAGTAGTGGGGGGGCTGCAGGGACGGGCGGGGGGTGGGAGGCGGGAGAAGTGGGGAGGGGGAGATGCTGGGAACATTTTCTTTTGAATTTAAATTTTTGCAAAAGAAAGAAAACTCGCATGAAGTATCTAGTAGATACAGCAGAGGATGGTAAAATATAATTTATGTTCTCTTCTCAATTATTTGCCTATATCAGATATAGGCAAAGATTATTTTGCCTCTTGGAGAATGTTTGTGACCCTGGGGAAATTAAGAATAATTTTCTTTTCAGTTTTTCTTTCCATTGTGAATTTTGTTATAAAGAATAAATAACCACACCGCAACCTAACCACAATCATGCCCTTCCAATCAGGCAATGGAATGACTTAATTGTTTAGTAGGTTTCACATGGTCATTATAAAATAACACACCTAACTTCCCTCTATACAATTTCCAGCTCAAGGATATAATCCAATAAAGATTTACTTTACTCTGCAAGGTATTTGTAAATATTAAATATAAGATATCAAATGAGCCTTTCAAAGAGCAATTTCTTCTTCTAATCAGAATTTAGGAGCTACCACATAATTAAAATTTTCCTCTAATACATTATATGAAATATTATTAATTTATTTGCTTTAGTCATTAGGAAAACCATGGTATAATTATGAAATTTCAGTATCAACAAGTCATTGTGAAATGTTCCACTTTATTCACTACATACTGTTCATCCAAAAAAGAATGAAAACAACTAAAAAGATAATAATGATTAGAAAAAAAAGAAAATCTACTTCATCGACTTAAGTATTCCTCTTAATAGTAGATAGACAGGACAGATAGATTGCTCCAGAGCTGGAAGTCTGACTCAGGAGCAAAGGGGAGAAGGCAGCTGGAATAGAGAAGGGATCGCTAAGAAAAAGAAGGCTGGAGAAATCGGTCGGGATGGGGGACGTGTGCAGAAAGTGGATAAAGGACCAAACGTGAGAACCTCTCAGTGTCTGTATCGCAAGCCATAATGCCCAAAAGTAGAGAGAGATTATGGGGAATCATGTCTGCCATGGAGGCAGGGGGAGGGTGGGAAAGGGGGGGCGGGTATACCGGGGATATTGGTGGCGGGGAATGTGCACTGGAGGAGGGATGGGGGTTTGATCATTGTGTGGTTGTAACACAAACATGAAAGCTTGTAACTATCTCACAGTGATTCAATAAAATTAAAAAAAGAAAAAAAGTATTACCCTTAGATCTAAAACCAAATTTCTAAGAGGAAAAGTCTAGACCAAAAAATCTGAAAAATCGGTTTTTAAAATTTGAATAAAGCTCATCCATCTTCAGATTTTCATCTACTTAAAAAGCAGTATCATGATTGCCACTCAACGCCTCTTCTGCAAACCACAACACCCAAAAGGAGAGAGAGAACAGAGGGGAATTTCCTGTCACAGAGGCAGGGTGGGATGGGGGGGTGGGGGAGGAAGGGATACTGGGATCCATGGTGGTGGGAAATGGGCACTGGTGGAGGGATGGGTATTTGATCATTGTATAACTGAAACCCAAGAACAAAATTTGTAAGTCTACAACTTACATGGTGTCTCACTAATAAAAATTAAATATATATATATAAATATTTTCTAGCTATAGAAAAGGCAGTATCATCATATACACATCAAACCCTTGAACTAAGCAGAGGTGTTAATTATCAAAAAGCTTAAAATAAGATTTATATGAGGTAGGCTAAAGATAGGGCTGAATGAAGAGGTTAAAGATCTCATCCCTGAAGAAATCAGGATTGTTTTTAGGATTAACTCTTAAAGTTCATAGGTCAGATAGAAATCAGATACGAAAGAAGACATACTGTGACTCAATTCCAGAGAGGCAAAAAAATGATTTAGTCACAGAAAATCAGTGAAAGCCTGAGGGATGTGGGTGGGGTAAAACACTGCGAGAGGACCTAAGAGAATTTGGGGGACCTGAAAATGAAACTTATTTCCTTAAAGAACTGACTCTTGATAATAATTCCATTAATATCCTAAACAACATTTGTAAATTTCTAAACATGAGTTTAAAATCTAGTCATTGGCAAAATATCCCTCAACAAAAATAGTAGGTCATGATACATGTTACATTTAAAATTTGCTTCATTTTAACATTTTGCCAAACAAAATTTTACTCAGAATTTTAAATTATTCCCACACACACAGGCACACTAAATCAATATTTAGTTTTTAATTTAACTAGTAGATACATCATGACGGAAATGCTTTCCAGCAGGCTGGGAGTAGTCTGTGTTAAGTCACCAGGACCACCAAGACAGGTCCAGTGTACTCTGTTTAAATTAGACCTCAATAAAGCTAATCCTTTTTTAAAAACGTTGCTCAGAAAACATGCATACCCATGGGTTCTATTTCCTTCCTAAACATTACAGAAGCAGCCTATACATACCTGAGGCTGTGCCACAACAAGGTGGTACCCACCATGCTGAGGAGAAGATGCTGGCGATCACATCGGGTGGAAAGAGAGTCACATTTCTCTGAATCTGGAGCAAATTTAACACCAGTGCGAGAAATACTCCAATGAAGAACAGCACCACTCCTCGAATCATCAAGTTCATGCCTCGGCTAGTGATGGACGAGATATAGGGGCCACGTTTTTTAGGCCCCGGTGATTCCGTCTCTCCTTCTGCCATGGTTTCATAAGTTCAGCAAACTGGCAACCAAATAAAAAAAAAAGGGAAAGAAAAAAAGAAGTGGTTTCCCAGCCAACTCTGTGTAGAAATAAAGTAGATCTGTGTTCAACGGTATCAAGTTTCGTCCTGAAATAGGACCTACATGGAACCCTGTAAGAGATCAAAAAGAGGAATCAATATACAATTATGCCACTTTCCTAATTTTCACACAAATTAAAAAGGATAGACACTAAAATGACAACATTATATATTTGCCTATGTTAAATATTTTCGAAGAGGTCTAAAAAGCATTTCTATACTGTCACTGTTACTGTCCTCCCGTTGTTCATCAATTTTTCTCGAGCGGGCCCAGTAAAGTCTCCAACATGGGACTTTGTTGTTACTGTGTTTGGCATATCGATCGAATATGTCATGGGGAGCTTGCCAGGCTTTGCCATGCAGGCGAAATACTCTCGGTAGGTCTAAAAAGCATTTCTACACATGTTATAATAAATAAAAAGTACCTTGCTTATAAAACGCATTCAAACCAATGAAATGCCCTACGCGACGTGGAGACTTAATAGCAACAGCTTCAAAGAAAAGTGGAATGGGTTATCTGAGACATTCTCACTAGAATTTTAGGAGATGACCTCAAGTTCCTGTTCTCTTGTACCTACATCTCCACCCATCAAGGAAGCAGAATACTGTACACTTTATAGAAAATCAATATATTCTGACTGAAAATGTACAACTCACAACAAAATGTGACTTGCTTTGAGGATGATTTTCACAGGGGAACCAGAAGTACTTTTGTAATGTCTAGTGCATATATAATTTTAATTTCTGCACAAAAGCGTCACACAAAGAAACAAGACTACCACCCACTCACCTACATAAACACCCAGCCACAAACCAGGCCTGACCAGCTCTACCGAGGGCCCCAGCTACGCCCCACCCCTGCTCTGACCCAGTCTGCCTTTGGTGAAATCATGGAAAGGTATTATGAGAAAGCGGCAGCAGGAAGGTGAAGCAAGCTAGAATCTTTAAGGGACAACCTAGTAATTGAGCCTAAAGTTTTACCCACTGAGTTCCTAACTCCTACAACCAGGAACTTAGCTAGTACGATCTGTCTAGATATTCACTACTCTCATCAAAATGTTCTTTTCTTGGGGTGTTTTAGACCAAATCATACTTGAGAATTTTTATGAGCTACTCAAAGTACCTTGAACTCTGGTAACTATTTGTAATCACCATAAAACCTGAGAGATTATTCAGTTGAATTATCAGCTCTATTTTCACATGTGAGTCAAAAAAAGCAAAAAAAAAAAAATTACACTTAACCAAGTTAACACCTCTGCAAAAAAGATGAACTGAGATTAAAATCAACATTGACTTGACACTAAAGGCCTCATTGTGACCATGTTATTCAGTCTCCTAAACAATTGAACACTCTTCTGTGTGTTTTCAATGCTATCAACATTTCTTAAATGGAAAAAAAAAATACGTCGTTACAGAATTTTGGTAATTACTTTCTAAGCCTGCACCCCCACCCCCAACAACAACATATCTTGGGCAGAGTAACAAGTAGTCAAAGATATTTTCTTTGAATCTCAAAGTAGGTAATTGAAAATCCTTCTAATAGTTACCTTCTAATGATATGCACAGTTGCTTTATGGACTATGAACATAGGTCTTACTCACTCAAGTCTCCACTGTGCCTATCTACCCAGAAAGGCACCTGCTTGGACCATACTGGGCCTCTTCTCTCCCCTTAGGGAATCTAGGTGAAACTACACGTTCTTATTTGTTTACATCTGTCGTCTTTCCTGCTCACTCTTTCTTTCCTTCTCTTTCTTTCTCTCTCTCTTTCTCTCTTTCTTCTGTTGGCTTCTCCTTTTTTTGGGGGGGAGGGCTTTTTTTTAATGTGTTTTGGGGCCATATCTGGTGATGCTCAGGGCTGACTCCTGGCTCTATGCTCAGAAATTACTCCTGGCAGTGCTTAGGGGACCATACTGGATACTGGGAATCGAACCCAGGTCAGCCACATACATGGCAAGTGCCCTACCCCGCTGTACCATCTCTCCAGCCCCAATGAGTTAGCTATTTTTGAATTAAACTATTCTGGATTAAGCAAGCCTTTTGGAAGACAAAACTGGCACTTAATCAGTATTTAAATGTATTTCTTTCGTGTTTCCAAGTTTCAAAACATCTTTCATGAATTTTGGAACAAAATCTGTGAATAAATGAGGTCAGAGTAGCTGTTGATTTTAAAAGAAGGAAAATGAGAAAGTGTGTGTGTGTGTGTGTGTGTGTGTGTGTGTGTGTGTGTGTGTGTTGCGGGGGTGTGGGGGGAGCGGTGTTGGTGTTTGGACCACAGCCTGAGGTTCAGTGCTCAGAGATCACTCCTAGAAGGGCCCAGACTAGAATATAGGGTGCTGGGCGTTGCAGCTGGGCCAACCGCATGCAAGGCAAGCACCCTACCCACCGGACTATCGGTCTACAGCTCCAAAACTGAATATATTTTCAAGTGTAAGTACTAGGAACTCTCACAGCCTGTCAGTTCCATGTGACAAAAAAAAAAAAAAAAAAAGGACAACAGAGCTAGGGTCTTTTGTTTGCTTGTTTTACTGAGTCTCTGTTATACCAAGGCTTTATGTCCAGCACTCCAAGGGGTAATACTGTTCTCACAAACCTCCTTGGGTCTACAGCAAAACGGAACTCTACAGTTCTCAGTAGTAGAGAAAATACTACATGTTATAGCTGAATCCCAGGAAAATATCCTGTAAGCGTCAACTGAAATGTCCCTAAAATACCTCCTCTTGACTTGGTCATGCAAACTGTTTCTTGCTGTGCCATCCAGCATGTTATTGTGTCATGTGTTTGGTCCCTTTCGGTCCAGTATCTGAGAAGCTAGAGAATTCATATTCTTGGTCATAATTCTTATTAATGATAAAGCATTCTTTGCTAAAGGGCATAATCCATGTCACTCATATTATAACTCCACTTCAAAATATGAGAAGGTAGGCATCACTACCGTTCTTTAACAGATAACGAAACAAAATCAGGGAGATTCTGTGGCCTGCTTACAGCCACATGAACTCGAGTTTTATCCCAAGTCTTAAATCCACCCATTTCCTTTTCAACCTTGAGTTCACTCCGTGAGTCCAGTGCAAATCCTCAGACTTCTCTGATGTGTAGGTGTAGATAAAAGGGCATTTGGTTGCTTGAAAGACACTGGGGAAACTGAACTGGAATATATTTTCAAAGTGCTAGTCCCAATATAAGTAGGTGGCTATACCATAGCACAAAGACCACGAAAATAAATGTACCAATTCCTTGAAACAAATTCTTCAAAAGTACTAGATCAAATTTTATCTTAGGGTCTCCCAAGGAGTGCCCAGGAGGCCCAAGGGGGCCCTTCTGGCAATTCTTGGACAACCAAGCCCAAGATGTAATGGAAGGGGCTAATGAGGCAGTGCTGCTCAAATGCTGAAATGACAGGGTTGCCCTGGTCACCTCAGAGGCCTCCAGGTACACACCTTCAGGTGCTCAGGGGCCTCAAGGACTGAACCTGAAGATGTTTCCTGGGGACATGGTGCCAGGGATCGAACCAGGGTTGGCCACATGCAAGGCATGTTCCTCAACCTCTGTGCTGTCTCTCTGGTCCCTAGACCTATTTTCCCAAAGACATTTTAAAGATAGGGAAATCATATGGCCAACACACACACTGTTTGAGGCCAATAATTGGCTCTTCTCTGCGCAAACTACCAACAGACACAGCAACCACTTCCCTTTTCTTGCCGCCAGAACAGCTACTAGCGGGCTGAGCAAACCGAACTGCTCCAGTAAATCACTTATGTTCCTAATCCCCACCTCCCGCCTCCACCCCTGCAAGAGAGTTTCTTCCAAAAAAGAAAAAATGGCAAGCATTATTTTTATGCTGAATAATGGTGTTTTAAAAGCAAAGTGCCTTTCATTTTAAAAAAGCTATTACTGTTGTGCTGCGTCCCATCTCACTCAGTCACCAGTTTTCAAAGGGCATTTGGGGCAGAAAAATAACTTGGTGTTTGTGGAACCACCCTAAGAATTGCGAAATATTCCGCTTCCCTGTCTCATGCCAACAAAATGCTAGTGGAACCCCCTCCCTATTTGCCAGAACCAAAAATGTCCTCACATATTTCCAAAGCCCAAAGTCCTACCACTGAGAGTCACTGACTGCCAGGGACTCCTCACTGGATTCCAAGAATGCAAGAGGCTCTCTAAATCATGTATGATTTTTCTGCCACAACTGTTTATCTGACCTTCCCTACCAATTTTGTTTATAGCTTTCTACTTCACGCCAAAGGTTTTCTTTAAAATTAACACAATTTTTATCTGATGTGTACTTAAAATGCATTTTTTCAAAAATGTTTCAAAAAAAATACTAGAAGTCCCAAAAAGTGAACTGTAAACTGTGACTCCATATAATAGTACATAATTACTGGAAACAAAAATAAAAGTTAAATGCATTAGAGTCACAGTATCCTACAATTTAGGAAAAGGAAGAGAACTGGGACAGTATCCATTCCAGGGGGCATGTGAGGCTGATGAAAACATTGAAACAGTTGGCCATGCGTGCATTTTTTCTGTGAAGATAGCTCAGTAATTCATATCAAGGCCTCAAAAAATGTTCAGGACCCAAAACAAATTAAGAATCAGTGATCTAACATTCTCTCACCAGCAAAGTAGATGAGACCCAAAGTAACCAGGTAGAACGGACAAGTTTACAATAGATCTGGCTAACACAAAGGTTATTCCTGGAAAAGACCAGGAAGTGATGACATAAGTAAGAAGTTCCAGAAGTTCAGTCCCTGCCATGAAACAATTAAGTTCCTTTAAAAAAAAAAAAAAAACAGGGCTGGAGCAATAGCATAGCAGGTGGGGAATCTGCCTTGCACACAGTCAACCTAAATTCATGTCCCCAGCATCCCATATGGACCCCCATGCACTTTCAGGAGTAATTCCTGGGTGCAGAGCCAGGAATAACCCCTGACATCACTGAGCATGACCCAAAATCCAAAAAAGAAAAAAGAATTAAGTTTCTGGTGGAAAAAAATCTTTAGTGCTGAGATATGTTTAGAAGTCAACAGCTTCAAAAGTTTCTCAACAATAATCCTGATAAGTAGAAAGCTGTGTTTAATCTCTATTTTACAAAATAGGGGAGATTAAGTTATTTTCTAAGATCATAAAACTGACATCCAGTAGTACCAGGACCAGCCCAAGCCCTCTGATTATGTCCAGGGCTCTCTTTTATCATACTGCCTCCACCTGCAAAAACCATGCAAAAATCATTTACAGGACCAGAGATATAGCGTGGGAGTTAAGGCATATGGAGCTGACCACTGTTTGATCTCCAGCACCACGTGACATTCTGGGCATCACTAGGTGCAGCCCTGAAGGCCCCACAAAACAGATAGAGTGGCCCGGGTAAAGGCTTGGCACCTTGGCACTTGAGCACTACAACAGCCTCAGAACCACACAACCTCACATAGAATCACAGGCCCACTTGGCTGAGGAATGGGAATCTGGTCTGGGCCTCTTGACCACCCTTTGCGAGAGAGAGACAAACACACACACACAGAGACACACACAGTCACAGACACAAACACAGAGTCTTAGTGCCACAGAGAAAATGTTTTAAAATTTTTGATTTTTGCCAAATCACTTTGGCAAACTGCCATTAATATCATAATAATGCTTAGGAGGAACTGGGGTGTCAATGACCAGAAAAAAAAAAACAGAAAAAAAAAAAGAAGGAAAACGAAAATTGATAAGACATGCCAATTTTACTGGGGCCCTGACCCATGGATTACTTACTGTAAAAGATTTTAAAAGACTTTATAGTAATTCAATCTAGTAAATGAATAGATCAATAACAAAGCATCAAAATTGGAAAAACATTATTCCAGATAAAGGATTACCTACCCAGATGTTAAACATTACTTTTGGATAAATAAAGGAGAATTTTAAGAGATTCTGAGCTTTGTGAACGAACCACTGTTTTGTTTTGTTACCACTGAAACAACTTTCAGGCACCAGGCATTTGAAAACAAACAAAAATCTCCTGAAACCTTAAAACCCAGTTGTGTTTTTAACAACTGCAATACCTCTTAAAACCAAATAAGATCATTCAGCTTCCAATAACAAGCAGTGACAGAAGTATATTTGCTCCCTGGGATAACTCTGTCTTTTCAGGGGCGTAGGTGAGAGAGGATACCAAGTAATAAAATTAAATTACTGCCTCAGATCTTTTGCATCAGATGCACCTATAAAAATGGTCTTCTTAAAATAGAACAGGTGCTAACACTAGGAGCAACTCACTCAAACTGCTGAAAAAGCTATTATCCTCCTTAAAATCCACAAATGTGAACCGTGCATTATGCACAGTATAAACTTCTGGAAAGAAAAATGTTTGCCTTGAAGACAATGCCGTTCAGTTTTCCTCTGGATATTAAAATCACAAAGCAGGAACGGTTTTGTCAGTATTGTTTGTTTTTGTTTTACCCTTCTGGGAATCCAACTAAGGGCCCCACACAAGTTCTCTTGGTGCTCTACCCATAAGTCACATCCAGGCTGCTTACTGCCTTAAAATATCAAATCTGTCCCTAAAAAAAAAAAAAAAAAAAAAAAAAAGAATCTGTCATTTGCAAATAGTTTGCCTTAGCAATGCCAACAAGCTGTCTTTACATTGCCAAACTATATTTTATACTTTCCTTTCCATCCGGGCAAACATTAAGGAATCAGCTGTCAGTTGAGGAACATCTTATCTAAATGTACATGATTCACTGCTCGGTTCACTGTAATATATGTACTTAGAACTACGCCAAAACATACTACTTAAGGTCATGTTCAGAGAAATGGGGGTAGAGGGTCGCTGGGAAGAAACCCACAGAACAGGCGACCAATTATTTTTTTTTTGCATTTGCGGTGGCTGTTAGCCAAAGACCCCTCCACATTCACTGTACTCTGAGATCCACTAATAGGGTCAAGCCCCCCAAAAAACTGAAAGTACAATCTAAAAAAAGCACCGCTTGGCTGTCTTTATTATTCTTCCTGAACACAGACTGCCTTTGCCAATTCCAATTTCTCTGCAAGGGTACTTCTGGTGGCTGTCAGCTGCCCAGCTGTCAAATCTGTCATTCCGTCCTTAGAAGAATTGCTTCATCCATCCTGCAAGAGTCAACTCTAGGTTGCATTTTTAAGGAGCACCCCCCCACACACACACACACACACACAACACACACAACACACACACACGTCAACTTAATATTTTTTTTCCCCCAACACAAAAAATAGACATGTCACTATCCTTACAGTTACAGCACCCTTCCCCCCCCCCCCACTATCTCCCACCTCTCCCATTCATCACCTGCAGTTTTCCTTGTCCTGGTTGTGACTGCCCCCTGATCATACCCCCCCCCAAAATAAATAAATTAATTGATTAATTCATTAATCAATGAATAAAAATCCCAGTGACCATCGCCCATCGATCCGAGAGGTCCCGGCCAGAGCTCCCTTCGGCTGCACCTACCCCCTACTGCAGAGCCCTCTGCTTCCCACCCCCCAACACCCAACTCCCACCCCTCCAGCCCATGCCCAGACTTTCCTTCTGGCAAAAACTTTCTCCTCCGTCTGGCCCCGAGGATCCTCCCGCCCCGGGCCCGCTCGGGCACCCCCGACGGGCGGCAGCGACAGTGACCGGCCTCCCCAGGACTGGGGGGCGGGGGGACCTCGCCTCGCGGCCACGAGCCCCCCCAGTGCCTGACAGCTGCGCGACCCCCCGCCCCCTCGGAGCTCCCGGGCGCCCCTCTCGCTGCTGCTCCCTCCCACCCACCACCCCACCCCGGGTGTCCCCCCGGCTCGGACCCGCTGCCGCGCTGGCCTTTCCGGGGGCTTCTCCCCGGCCCCGCCGCCCCTTCCGGGCCTCACCGACCCCCCCCCCAGGTGAGCCGGAGCCCCCCGCCCCGCAGAAGGCCCCGCCCGTGGTCCCCGCTAGCCGGGGTCCCGGGCTGCCAGGACGCCGGGCGCGCCTCTTCCTCCTCCCGCGGCCCCCCCACGACCCCCGCGGGTGCCCCAAGCCCCCCGCACTCCCCCGGGGGGGCCCCCGACTCACCCCCGCCTCCGCCATCTTCTGGGACCGGCCCCCGCCCCCCTCCGCCTCTTCCTCCTCCCCCGCCCACAACTCCGCCCGCGGCCCACTGCGCCTGCGCGGCCGCTGCGCCCGCGCTCCGGAGGTCGGGGCGGAAGCGCTTCCGGTTCCCGCCGGGACTCGTTGCTCGGCCCCGCGGGTCGGGGCAGGGGCACTTCCGGCCCCGGGGACATTAACGGCCGGTCGGGGGCGTGGACCGCCTGGGAGGTGGGAGGTGGCTCGGTCAGCTGTTGTTTGCTGACCAGGCCGTCGTGCGAGGGGGAAGAGTGTCCAGACAGACCCCGTGGGCGGTGTGAAGGAATCGCGCGCCGACACACGCGCGCACCGTCAGCACTTTCCGCTGGGAGCCCCGGGCTCTGGCGCGCAGGCCGCCAAGGACGCGGCTTCCAGGACCTTTCTGCCTTGCAGGGTGGAAATCACATTTTTTTTTTCCAGTCCTACTAAATTATAACTGGCGGGATTGGGGGTGGGGGCTAGGGGGGGTCACGGCGCAGAGAACGCACTGCACTTTGAGCAGTTTTCATTGGTAGTCGTTTCTCAAGTTAAGCCAGGTAAAGCTGAGAGCACTGTTTTCTTTTTATTTTTTTTTTACAATTGTCGCTTTCTTTTTTTTTTTTATCATTTTTTTTATTAGTGAAACACCATGAGGTACAGTTGTAGACTTACAAATTTTGTGCTTGGGTTTCAGTTATACAGTGATCAAGTACCCATCCCTCCACCAGTGCCCATCCTCCACCACCAGGGTCCCAGCATCCCTCCCACCCCCCCCATCCACCCCCCACCCCCACCCCCACCCCACCCTGCCACTGTAACAGGGCATTTTCCCCCTATTCTCTCTCTCTTCTTTTGGGTATTGTGCTCGGCAAGAGAGGCATTGAGTGGCAATCATGTTTGGTCCACAGACCACTTTCAGCATGTCTCTCCCACCCTGGGAGGGTCTTCACAGCACCCTTTATTTGGTGAGAGAGCACTGTTTTCATAGGAAGAGTGTTTTTTACAGCAAAGTGGAGGAAATGACAGAACCCTGCAATTCCTTGTTTGTCCAAATCAGCATGTGGCCAGAATAGAGCGATCTTGAAGGAATTCTCAGATGAAATTTGGGTCTAGAGTAGTTGTTTAAGAGCTTTGCAAAAGGAAGGGCCGAAGAAACTGTACAGCCAGTCCTTGCAGGCTATACAGACTACAAGGTGCTTGCCGCGTATGGTCCTCTGAGCATCTCCAGGAGTGATCCCAGCGCCATCAGGAAGCCCCCAGCATCACCAGGTGTGGCTCCAACCCCTGCAACACGGAGTCAGTGAAATTCCCTCGTTTTCACTTTGAGCTAGAAGGTGAAGCGTTGTTTATGTTTTATCATCACATTTCTGAAAATTGAAAGAAAATTTGAATTTGCAACAGAATGGGCTTAAGTAGGTATTTCTTTGAGCTTTGTTTTCTCTTCCTTAAATATCAGAGGCCAGCCATCATTATATTAAATAGACAGAAATTTAAAAAGACAGTAATTTCCAAGTGCCTAGACATTAAGACTGCCTTGGAGTCCAATTTATCCACTCTGTGCCTTCCCTAAACTAGACACTTGGTTGCCTTCAAGAGAATTCTTAAAACTTCAGCTCAGAGGGGATTCACTTTAGGTTATTTTTTTTATTACAAAAAGGTATAAGAACTAAAAAAGCAAGAGCTACATGGAAGCAGTTCATGTGGCTCACGTAGCCAATACTGACACTCCACAGTACAAGACAGAAAAGAGAATCTTTAGGGGAACTAAAAAGAGCTATTGTCTTCTTCAGACTGGGTGTGATGATTAGTTTTAGGGAAGATGTAGTCTTTCAGGTAGTCTTTGATGATACGTAGGCAGATATGATGAGGCTGTGCATTCTGGTGGGAGCTTCGAGTTGGATAAAATTGAAACTTGAAAGATAATTCGGAGAAATTGTATAAAACCTCTCAAAAGCCATTCATTCTTTGCTTGTTTCCCCTCTGGAGAAGCCTGTGTGCTTTCATGAACACATCTCTCTTTCTCACCCCTCATATTTCTCCAGATTTCTCTCAATAAAAGCCATTTTGCTTCCCTAGTAACTGGTGAGACCTCAGTTTCTATTTTCTTGCACTCTGCATCTCAACACACACACACACACCACCACCACCACCACACCACACACACATACACACACCCCAATAATCTTCCAACCAAGAGGCTCACAGATTGTGGATCCGGGGGCATGGAAGATTGAGTGGTGAGACATGTACCTCATAAGAGAGAAAGATATGAATGTTAAACTCATGGATTGAGATTAAATTATTGTTTTTATAGTGGAAATATAGTAACTTGAAAGCTCAGATTAATTGATAGCAACATACAAATTGAAAGTTTTGAGACATCAGAACAGAGGCTGAAGAGATACTTCAGTGGGTGAGCGGCTTGTCTTGCATACAGGCAATCAGGATTTGATCCCCGATACCACATATGGTTTCCCCAAGCATCCCCAGGAGTGCAGAAGCAGAGTATGTTTTGATCACCATCAGGTGTGGGCAAAAGTTTTTTTTTTAAAAAAGGGAGGAGGAGGAGGAGGAGGAGGAGGAGGAGGAGGAGGAGGAGGAGGGATTAGACTAAGCTTAAAGATTTTGCTGTTCAAGAATACAGTTAGTAGAACACTAGCAACAAAAGGATCATTCAAACCTGGTGCTATGACAGCAAAGTGCTAGTTATGTTCAATAAATACACTTGTCTGGGTTTTTGTTTCTAGCAAAATGTTAGAGAGGTTTCTAGATAATTTCTAAGGTCCTTAGTAGGCAAAGACAGCAACGATTTGCTGAGTTCATGTCTTAGATGAAAGTTCGGATTCCCCCCCCCCCCACCACACACACACCACCACCACCACCACCACCACTAGTAACCTTACATTCGATTTGGTCTCCCAACAGAATGGACCAAAAGATTAACTAATACAAGCCAAAATATACCCTTAATGTGTTACAAGCATCCACAAAAGTTGATTAGCCTTGTTGAACTGAGCTAATGTTGAACTAATAACTTGTTATTGCCTGAGGACTGATGACTAAGCCTTAGTAAGCTTCCAGGAACCTTGGACTTGGAAGTCTTACCCAAATAAACAATTTTTTTTAAAGTACAGAGGTAGGTGGTATTGCAGTTTTCTTAGTGGCTAGAACCCAACACAAGTAGAGCAATCTTTTTAGATTTTTAAAATTGCTTTGTAGAATTTTGATGTGGAGTTGAGACACAAAAAGTCAAGAAGTTTGCCCTTTTTTTGGTATGACAGGCTGAATCATTAAATTCATTGATCTCTCAACTCCTTCGTGTGAACATCTAGTACATTGTCACTTTGCACTGCACCTCAGGAGGAAAACTGCTAAACTGACCCTGCCTGTGAGAATTCCAGCAGAAGCAACGAACGCAAATAATAAAATTGCTATGGTGTGCTTTTAAAGTGAGTTAAGTGCTAGGATGATGATGATGAGCGTTTACATATTGTGCTAGGAAATGAAGGGAAGTACCTAAGGCCATAATTTCTGCTGGTACTAAAGATTGAGAGGGGCATGCTATCGGCCAAATGGAGAGCAAGGGTAGGGGGATAAAGCAATAGTACAGTGGACAGGGCTCTTGCCTGGCACACAGAAGGCCAGAGTTTGATTCCTGGCACCACATATGAGCCACCAAGCACCACCAAGAGTTAGCTCAGAGCACAGAACAAGTGTAAGCCCTGAGCACCACGGAGTGTGTACCAAAAACAAACACAAATCAAGTTGAGAAAAACACTATTAGTGTAAATACTTGGCCCATTTCAGATAAAGGGTAGCAGCCTAGGATGGTGGGTGCTATAGTGATTGAGATGGAAAGTTACAAATTAAAATTGTGTATTAACATCAAGACTGGACACACTATATGTTAGGTAGATGGTAATTTCAGTTGTATTTCAGGTGCTCAAACCTCTTTTAAAATAGATCCTGAATAGAAGATGAAATATTAAGATTAAGAGGAATGATGCTCAACCCTGGCTACATTTAAGAATATTTTGAGTGAATTTATTCAAAGTTCTGGTGTTTGAATCCTGCCCTCCATATATTTTGATTTAATTGGCTTGAAGGGAGAGGATCTAGCCCTTTAAAAATAAAATAACCGTGTGTAACTTGTTTGGGTGAATGATTGCCACACCTAGTGGTGCTCAGAGCTTACTCTTGGCTCTGAGCTTGGGACCATCTGCAATGCCAGGGTTGGCAGCATGCAAGGTAGGAGCCTAAACCGCAGTACTATCTCTCTGAGCACCTTTGTGGTTTTGTTTTGTTCTGTTTTAAGGCCACCCAGAATTTCCCAGGGTTTACTGCTGACTCTGCAATCAGGAATTGCTCCTGGTAAGCTCAGGAGACCATATAGGGTGCTGAAGGTCAAATCTAGGTTGGTTGTGTGCCAGGCAAATATCTTACCTGCAGTACCCTGCTCTCACCCCTTGGAATCTTAATGTTCAAGCAGAATTTAGAACCATTAAATTAAAGTAAACTTGCTCAGAGCAACTAAATAAGTAGTAGAGGAGGCCAAAATTAAACCCAGAGCTAGTTGATCCCAAAGGTGGCACTCCTAGCCACTCTGTTGCTCCTTGCCAGTGTTCAGTGTTCAACAATGTACAGCACACACAAGTTGCCTGCTACCAACTTCATTAAACGCTGAGACAGAGACGGAGGCAGAGCCCTTGCCTTCAATAAATTCACAGCTTCATAAAGCAGAAGGCTCAGTAAATGAAGTCGAGACAGCTAAAGTAGGCAGAAGCGAGTCAACTGAGAACTCTCAGGAAGATTAGATATGTTCTTCCTATTTTAAACAAGATTGAAGGGAACTGATGGCAGGTAATCGAGGTCCGCAGCTATTGCAATCTTCAGCTGAGAAGTGGTACAAGGGCACAGAGAGATTTGGCAGGACTGATTTGCTGGCAGCTGATGAGAGGTTGAGAAAAAGAAGTGGAAGACGACTTCAGAGATTTCAGTGTGAGTGACTGA